ATTATATATAAGGAAATGACCTGCCGGGACAAGGCAAAGCTGTGTGCAGAACCGTAGTTGATTACGAGGTCGGAATGCATTGGTAAATCTATCAGCGATGTTGGCCCCGGATGTCACGTACACTACATGGGCCTGACCGCGCTGCTGCACAAAGTACCGCAGATGGATGTGCTTTGATCTGCCTTCCATGCTAGGTTCCCGACACAAGAGGATCGTGGCCTTCTTATCAGCGAACAAGACCGGGGCGGAGCTGGGCGGTTCTCCTAAATTTGTGAGCAAGAAAATCAGCCAGCGGAGCTCCTGAATAGCCATAGCACGAGCGTAAAACTCTGCCTCACGGCTAGACGAAGCTACCAACGACAAGCAAGTCGACCTCCACGAGACAACGCCTACTTCAAGGCTGAAGCAGTATCCATGAGAAGACTTGGGAGTCTCGGCGCTGTCTGCCCACGACGCGTCAGTGTGACCGTGAGTCTAACTAGCGATCGTTCTACAAGCATAAGCCCCATGCCTGATGTACTCGCCAGGTAGCGCAATACCCAATTAGCGGCCGACAACCGGTGTCTCCAACTCACAACAAGGCGTGCTGTCAAAGTAGTAGATAGTAGGAAGGTGGGAACCATGTTAGGGTTGGGTGTCGAGAGAGATTAGGCAAGGGGAAAATCGAGAAAGGAGGGGCTTCACTATAGAAAGTTGGAAACATATAGGAAAAGAAAAGAGAGGTGCACCACCAAACAAGTTTAGAACTACATTAAGTCTACACTATAGGCAGTTATAATATAATGCATGTAATTATATTCCGACACACCCCCTAACTGCCTGCAGTGAAGAACCATGTGCAGAACACCCCCTGAAGGGGTACACTAGGCGCAGCGGAGGAAGGAGAGGGCAAGTGAAGAGGAGGGACCATGAGAGGAGAGGAGGTGGTGGGTGGCGGCTGAAGCTGCTGGCACACAGGCAACTGGAGCAACTGGCACACTGGCAAATGGAGCAAATGGCACACGGGCAACTGGAGTAACTGGCTCCGCGGCTAAGCGAGCGGCAGGAGCAACTGACTCACGGGCGACAGGAGCAACGGGCTCACGGGTAACTGGCGCAACGGTCTCACGGGCGACTGGAGCTGCTGGTTTCACGGCGTCCACCCCCCTTCAACCTCCCTTTCACACCCCTCCGCATCCCTACCGCCACTCCCTCATCTCCCCCACACCCTCCCCCTCCCCCCCCCCCCCCCCAGCGGCATGTGCAGCAGTGGGAGAGAGAGGAGGAGAGGCGGCAGCACTTCACTCACACCCGCCACCCCAATACCCTCCCCCCACTGCTGCATCCGTAGCAGGGGGATGGAGGAGAAGGGGGGGCGGGGGGGGGGGTTGGTGCTGCAGATCCCCTCCCCCCCACTGCTGCACCCGCAGCAGGGGGATGGAGGAGAAGGGGGGGGCAGGGGGGCTGGAGCTGCAGATCCCTTCCTGCCACCCCGTTAACCTCCAAGCTCCCCCCCTTCTCCCGACACAGCGACGAGTGTGGCAGGGAGAGAGAGGAGGAGGTGGTGGGCGGCTGACTACTCACACCCGCCACCCCCATACCCTCCCCCCCACTGCTGCACGCGTAGCAGGGGGATGGAGGAGAAAGGGGGGCGTGGGGGGGGCGGTGTAGAAGCTGCTCGGGCGAAAGCAGGGCGCGCGACGGGCAGGAACCCGTCGTGCGCCACCCCCGCCACCCCCATACCCTCCCCCCCCTGCTGCACGATCAGCATGGGGACGGAGGAGAAGGGGGGGGGGGGGGGGGGGGGGGGGGGGGCTGCGCGGGCGACAGCAGGTCGCACGACGAGCAGTAAACCGTCATGCGCCACGGGCGCACGACAGGCACGAAAGCGACGCACGCCTGGGGCGCACGACGGGCAGAAAATCGACGGGCGCCAGCGAGGCGGACGCCATGCGAGGATTAAAATGCGGCGGGCCCATTAGGTCATAACCACTCTAATACCATGTCAAACTAGTAGATAGTAGGAAGGTAGGAACCATGCTAGGGTTGGGTGTCGAGAGAGTTTAGGCAAGGGGAAAATCGAGAAAGGAGGGGCTTCACTATAGAAAGTTGGAAACATATAGGAAAAGAAAAGAGAGGTGCACCACCAAATAAGTTTAGAACTACATTAAGTCTACACTACATGCAGTTATAATATAATGCATGCAATTATATTCCGACACGTGCAAGGATGCTAAGAGGATATTCATAATCTGGACAAGTATAGGCCATCAGGTACATGAGGCACCCCAACAACCCTGCGTATGGACCACTAGGCTTAGTATGCTCGTTAGGCACAAGAGCAGAGAGTTCATGGTGTACAGCAAGAGGAGTGGGCTGTGCAGAAGAGAACTAAAAACTAAACCGCTTAAGGGTCTGTTGCACCATGTGTGACTGAGTAAGAGTGATGGTGTGTACTGCTCTATCCCTAGTGATCTGCAAGCCAAGATAGCGACGCAACTCACTCAGATCAGTGCAGGTGTGTGTCTCCTCTGCAACTCGACCTTCGCTGAGGCAAGTGAAGCCCTGTCGGGAGTAGCGAAGACCAGGTCATTGACGTAGACAAGGATGTAGGAAGGAGTCTTGCTAGAACGAACGAATAGAGAAGGGCCAACAGAAGACAGAAAGGAGCTTAGGGCAGAAAGAGTAGTACGTAACGTCTCGTGCCACTCATGTGGAGCCTGACACAAACCGTAGAGTGGTCGATGAAGATTCCAGTATGTCCAATTGAAACCAGGTGGACGGCGAAGCCAGATCTGCTTGTGCAAGCTGCCATCATGAAAGGCAGTGGAGAAGTCATGTGAGTGGAACTCGTAGTCGCGTTGTGCTGCGATGTGCGATGCGTACTTCGAGTGTGGTCATCTTCGGAGTGGGGAAGGAGGTGTGAAAGAAGTCTATCCCCTCTCGTTGATTGAAGCCTCTCGCCACATAGTGCTCATTGAAGGCAGGCGGCGCTCCAGGTGGCCGCTTTACCCTGACGATCCTTATGCCATTAACTATGTTCGTCCCATGAGGGGGAGCGGCGTCAAAGTAGGTGCACGTGGACCTCCCAAGTTGTCGTCTTTGCGCCCAGCGTCCCCACAACGTAGGTGCGAGGTTTCGGCATGTCAAAGGAGTCTGGGTTACCAAGGCTAGCAGCATGGCACAGAGGTGAGGAGCAGCGGTCGCAAGGAAAGCCACCTCGAACTGCCTACCCTCTAGGACGTCACTGTCAAGGGCAGGTGGCGTAGTCAAGGCTTTCGCTAAAGGCAAAGTCAACGACAGCGGCAACAAGAGCAGAGACAGACAACGAAAAAATAGTGGGGTCGGTAACGAGAGAGGAAAGGACACGGGAGACCATAGGGCGAGCGGCACAGAGGAAGTTAGAGAAGAAACGACTAAGAAGTTGATAGGAGAACTGGAGGCGGAACACGACGGGGAAGAGAACAGAGGCCCATAGAGTAAAAACGGGGAACATGAGACGAGGGATGAGCACAAAGGGGACGACGAGGCCATGCGGACGAGACAAGAGACAGGTCAAGGAAGGAGGGAAAGACAACTGAGAATGAGGAGGAAAACGAGCCGGAGATGGGCCCGGGAGAGGCGGTGGTGAGGAGGAGGTAGGAAGACTGTCGGTTGAAGGGTAAAGAAGACCAAGAAGGCGAAAGGCAGTCACAGGCGGCGACCACTACTGTTGCGGCGGCGGTTGTTGCTGTGGCTGTTGATAATGCTGCAATTACTACGGCTACTGCCGCTGCTGCCTCGTCGAACGTCACGGGCCTGCGGCACTCCCAGGGTCCAAACCTCCCACGGCAACTCCATCAGAGCCAGTACCTTCATCGTCAACCGCCAGATTCAGCACCTCTAGAGCCAGCACTTCTAGCATCAGCACCCCCAGAACCAGCATCCCCACAGCCATTACCTCCAGCACCTACAGAGCTGGCACCCCTAGAGCCAGCACCCACCGCAGCTGCACCCCCTGAACCTGCACCCCCAGAGTCCATAGTGACTGGCCGATGTGGCAACAACTGGTGCGGCTCCGACGAAGACTACTGCTTTGACTGCGAGTACAAGGCCCGGGACGGCGGTGACTGCGGGGTGACGTACGACACACCAAAAGAGACACCATGTGAACAACACGTGCACATGTGTCACATTATATGCGTTGACGTGGGTGTGGCCTACTGGCTAGATCCTGTTTTTATTCAGCACATTACGAGTTGTGCAATGCTGGGTGTAATTGTTACAACATTGTATGAACATTGATTTTGGCAACTGGTTGCAAGAAAGATCGGCTTGTAACATGGTTCATCATTATCAAACAATACCCGCTAACCACCGAATCGTTTCTAGCGCCAAACCTGTAAACCCACTCGGCACGTACAGTCCCGTTGTTCCCCTGGTGAAACGAACGAAAGCGCATGAGATACAAAGCTAACTTCAGTCCCCTACCCTCACAAAAGATGGTGTGACTGTAATGGGCCGTCACGAGAGTAGGTGGAAACTGAGGTTTGGATGTGCTGGCAAATAATGCCAGGAGAACGCAGCCTTTGTATGTACCAGTAGGCTGTGTTGTGCAGTGTTCAGCAAAGAAGAACAGCCCATGCCGCTCCATTTGCGTGGCTTGTCTCGTCGTCACTCATGCTCTTGATTTTATGGCATTGCCTTACATTCCGTGCCACACAAAAAGTAGGAGCAGTCGAACCCCTAAACTCTGGCAAATACAGAAAAGTATCCGTACCTTCGGCATTTTTCTGGCGGCGCCGTCGAATCAGTTCGCTGATATATGCGTGAAAGGTGCTGAAAGAATTCGGAACAGCTTCACCCACTTCTCTCGCCTTCACTACGCTCCGTAATCGTGCTCTCCGTGACAGTCTGAACTGTTGTAAAAACTGAGAGACGCACTTCTTCATTCCGTCACTACGGGCCTCTGAGAAACGCCGCCATACTCAGTGGTGTCGTCGCCAAGTCATACCTACCGTGAGACGTACAACTCACCGCCAATGGCGGCTACTACTGCACAGGTCATCGGTTGTTTCTCTCCTGGAGCCTCTCCTTCGCTGCTCTGTCCAATCTTCGTCGCGGGTGAGGGTCGCAGAGGCGGCGTTTCTCACCGGATTCCTTCGCTCGTATGACCTCCGCTGGTGGTCGCCTTCCTTGCTTCAGTGTGCAGAGAAATTGCAGAAAACTGCAGGGCAATCCGTCCTGCTCTGCGTCTGTACTTGCCACGTCCTCGTTAACATCCTTTCTTATGTCTCTCTCTCCTCTCTGCTCCTCTTCACGCGATGCCTGCCCCTGTCAGCTGTGGTGCTGTCCTTTGGATGCATGATTAGCCCTACCCAGGCTCTCCAGAGCATTACCATCAGCTCCAGATACTGTGAGTCCGCCATTACTCGCTACAAACAACCCCGGGACTCGTTATAGCCGCTCATCGAACAATGATGAGCGCACAGGCGTTACCCCATGTCTGGCTGCTATGGTGTTTCTCCGTTGCGAAAGCTCCTCACAATCGACCACCGAGCTTCTCCCATTCGCTGTTACCTTATGAAATTCCTCACTCTCCACCCCACCCTGCTCCGTTGTCCTCACTCAACACGAGCACACAGGCACGCACACACGCACACACACACGCACCCCCACACGCACCCCCACACAGACACCCACGCACGCACTGACCCGCACCTGAATATTCTGTACCTTGTGCAGACTACGTTTCGTCCAAGACAAAGGGTGTTTCCCCTTCACCCTACACTGGTTCCTTTCAAGTTTCCGTCAAGATGTAAGCCTCACACCTTTGCTGTTTGTCCCTATCTGTTGCATGCACTCGCACATTATTACGAGATCAAGACACCATGCGAACTGCCTGTGCCTGCCGATAACCATTGGATGTTGCAACGCCTCAAGAAACATGGTAGTTGCGTTTTTTCTCTCCCCTCCCCACTCCTTCCCCCTAATCCCCCCGCCCCCCACCTCCCCTGCAATGAATCCATACTCTCTCTTGCTCAATCCAGGACTGAATTCACTCAACTGGTTGGGTACACTCTTCGTGTGTTTGCCCTGCCCCACAAACCCAAAGCCAACTTTTCTGATGTCGGGATTTTCAAGGGGAAGGAGGGCGCCACGGGTCCTTTAGTGACGTCCTTCCCCTGCAGGATGCACACTGTGGGGACTGGATATGTCTGCTTTGGCGAAGCCCGTACGACCCTGGATAAATCATGGACCCCTAAGCTCAAAGCAGCCGATCTGATTAAAGCTGGCGCATATGACACCCCTGGTAACTTCTATGTTAATGTGACATATTGCGGAGCTACCACTGCCTCTGGCGGATCTAGTGGTATCATTAGGGGACAGTTAGTGGGCTGATCATTGGGTTGGTGCTTGTGCTCTGTGGCCTCAGTGCCCTCTCAATCCATTCAGGTTGTTTACGTTTACATTTCTCTAAACCACTACCACATCCATCACAGCTGTGGAGATTTCCTACCTGTTAGATGACTGGAGGAGGAGGAAAACAAGTACCGTAGGCTACAAATCAGGAACTTGAGTTTTCTCAGGCCTGTATGTCAGTGTATTGAGTCGCATCCTCGTTATTCTATTCGCACAACTCGTAATAGTAGCGAAGCATCAATTATGGGACACTGCACAGATGATGATAAGGCACCACGTCATCCACGAACTGATGAGCGATGGGCACGTTCTGCCAAAGCTCTCCACTAGCTTAGGCGAATATCTGGAGGTTAGGCATGGCTTGGTCGGCGTCCCTGCTCCCAGACCTGGACAGCACCCGAAGCTTGAGTATCATCGAGAGAATACTTCGGGCTCACACACCTCCGCGAAACCAGTACACCAACCAAGCCTCCAGTCTAGTCCCTGTTAGCTGATCCCCAAGCCCAAAAAGGTCAAGGCTGATTTATGAAAAACTTACAAGGTGTAGCATTGGCGCTTCGCTTTTCGTCTGGGTTCTCGCACGAAATACGCCCTACGAACCTCAGCTCCTGTTCAAACTTTTGGCAAGGTGGGAGAAGGCCCCACTGGTTTTGCCTCATCCATGAAGGTTGGTTACAGTTTCACGTCCCCTGAAGTTTTTCACAAATCATCCTTGACCGTTTTTGGCTTTAGGGATCAAACATTCAGGAACTAAAGGCTACTCGTGACATTGCTGAGTGTCGATCTCGCGAAACCATCACGCAGTGGCTGCAGCACATAGACCGAATTTTCCGCTGCGACCCTGTTTTTTGTTTTCCTTCTGACTCTTGTGGGTCATCTCGAACATTTTATTCCATAAAACCTAAGCTGTCCGAATTACCCCCGATTTCGGGTAAACCAGAAAGGATTGCTCAGGGGTGTGAAATTGGCGGGATTGAAATTGGCGAGAGTTTTGCTCCAAACCCGGGTTTAAAGATTCAGTGTCGCACACGTGGCCTCTATTGGCTCGCGTGGTTCGACAATTGACCGATAATTGCTCGAGTGGCCTTGCCAGGGAATCCCCGCAGCCTATTTTTTACCCAGCACAATACCCTACAAAGGTTTTTATCCCCGAAAGTCTTTGATCGCGCTCATATTGGTTACTGCGCAATCTTTTATAGCCGAAATTTATGTCCTTGACCATATGTGACCGCGCCTGATTGGACGCGCACTGCCAAAAAAGGCTCCGCGTATATAATCGACCAGTCATGCGCGGTCATTAAGGGTGTCGCGCATTGTTGCTCGGGCATTGAAGTTTATGATCACGAATATATATAATCGAGCGCTCATTGGTCACGCATTGTACCGAAAATGAGCGCGCAATTACTGTAATTGACAAAAAAAAGGCACCGCGTATATAATCGACCAATCAGGCGCGGTCATATAGGGTCACGAACATAAATTTCGGATATATAAGATCGCAAAAGTTTCGGGGATAAATATCATTGTAGGGTAATGTTTCGGGTAAAACAAAGACTGCGGGAATCCCCAGGCAAGACCACTCGAGCAATTATCGGCTAAATGTTGAACCACGCGAGCAAATAAAGACCATTCTCGCAAAATCCAATCTCTAAACACGGGTTTGGAGCAAATCTCTCAATTGGCGAGCGTGTGTACTGGACATTAGGTTATGTCATCGTACCGCCACCTGCCCAAAAAAACAAGCCCTATAAAGTTGCAACTTGCAAGCATGCGGCCTTCTGGGGGCTCCTAAACCCGAGCACCGATTCGTACCGACCGAACCTACACAGCCTCGAGGAAATCAAGACTACAGTGATGCCTGCAACATTTCCCCCCCCCGGTCGGGTGAGTCAGCAGCAGCAGCAGCAGCACCAGTCGTCTGCCCCCTCCCTCCCTCCTCACCTCGCTCCCCCTTGTGAAGCACCCACAATCGCCTTGTCCTTAAGGCTCTCTAAAAATAATTTGGTGAGTCTGTGTTGTGGTGGTTAGGCTGATTTCCTCTCTTGCACCAGATTGTGCATTCTGCATAATCTCTTCCTGTCTACTCCGCCAGAGCTGTGGAAGTCAACATTTTTCTGCGTCACATTCTTTTGTTCGCCTCGTCGAACAACAGCGACGCTGATTGCTCGTAGCCAAAGGAGCCAAATTGAGACCAAGCGCAGTAATCACATAACTTGCGTCTGTCTTATAAACCGGCTTTAAAAGCTACCACTTCGCGGCTCCTTTTTATTTCGTCCCATTACCGTTCGTCCGCATAATTTCGTCCCCCCTTCGTTTCCGCAATGGGAGCTCAACAATCCGCCTCCAAGGGCGTCAAGCTGCGTCGCCGTTCTGCTATGGCTGGAGCTGTTACCGCGGATGAGCTTAACGAAGCAGGCGTCGACCTCGCCAAGGCCGTCGCGCAGTCCACCAAGATCCAGGAGCTCGCGCGCGCACAGGCTGGCGCACAGGCTGGCGCGGCCGTCGCCGCCGGTCCCGCCAGACCCGCCGCTGGCGGCGCAGGTCCAGATGCGCGGAAGAAGAGTTCGCGCGGCGCTGGGACGCTCGACTTACCGCCATGGGAGGTGGTCGCCAGCTTGACGGAGGCTGACTGGGTGGCGCTTCGCGCATGGATCGAGGCTGGATGGCGGTACGTTCGCTCGTTATTGACCAATGTCGATCCGTTTGTCTCCCCCGCCTTTTTTACTCCCAAGATTATCCTTAAAGCCGTTGTCTTTCGCTCATTGTTGTTGACTCAGTCGAAGCTATTAAAGAGTAGACGCTGTTTGCAGCTCTCGGTCGGACTCGGTAGCCTGTTTTTCTCGCCTTTCTTGGCTTTCCCGCTGCATTACATCATTGTTTATTCATTTTTGTTATAAGCAATGAAGCGGCTGTCGAGTGTGCCGATCTCACCGAAATCCTCTTGCTATATAAACAATCAGTAGTAATTATCGTGTCTATTCAATAACCACCTAATTACGTAATAATATATAATAATAATCACATTTGTGCCCACGTGCCTCTCACCCCCGTAGTTGCCGCAAGTGCTCTCACGTCCGCGACGACGCCAACGAGCATCCCAAGGCGGCGCAGCTGCTGCAGCGCTGCGGCATCCACCTCCCCAAGCCCGGCACAGCTGGCGGCGGGCGCGCGGGCGGCGCCGTCGGGTCCAGCGCCGGCTCTCCTGCTGTCAGCGGCCGCACGACCCCGTCTACTGTCGCTAGCGGAATGCATGTTATCGAGTACGCGTCCGCGTCCCCGGACAATCAGGTCGGTTACCTTTCCGACACCTCGTCTCCGACCACCTCCCGCACGGGTTCCCCGCAGCGGGACTCGCGAGCGCGGAGGAGCGTGGCTGGCTCCGACGTGTCGCACGACGCGTCCCCGCGCTTCCACGCCGGGTCCCCGTTCGGGGGATCCGACGGGGGAGGAGCGCCGGGCGGGGCGGGCGCGGGGGGAGGTCAGGGAACGACCTCGGCAAATGTGCTGGGGATAGAGGCGTGTCCGCACATGCAGGGGAAAATGATTGCGGGGAGCGACAGGGCGAGCGAGATCGACAGCCTTAATTCGAGCTTCCGGGAGGACACGGGGAGCACGCGCGGCACGGGGGGGGTTCCGCCCGCAGGCGGCGCGCAGAAGGGCGGCGGAGCGGCTTCCGGGGATGCGCTGCATCGGAAGCTGCTGTCCGCGATTGCGCGCGCGCACCAAGTGTACTTCATAGATAAGGTGAGGCGCGCCGAGTATGTTTCGTGAATGAGCCGAGGCATCTGCTACTGAAAGGGGCCTAGACCGTGCGAGCATCAGTAGGCGTGTAACACACGTGCAACGGGTCAGCCAGTATCACAAGTTGCTGCGGTTCGACACGGTTCGAAACGGTGCTTCGGAACGGAAGAGGCTTGAGGGGGGCGGGATGAGACAAAAACAGCAGAAGGCGAGGAATAAAGAGAAGGTGGGTGGGTGGGGCAGGGGCTGGGGGGAAGGGGAGGGATGCTGGGAAGCAGTGATGGTTGTGTAGTTCAGGCGAAAAGGCGGCGGTCGGATGGGGGAAGGGTAGCGCTGATGGGGCAATGGTAGTGTGGATGGGGGAACGTGGAGATTGAGTGTGGGGGGAGGGGAGGAGCCGCATAGGGCAGAGGTCTAGTCTCGAGTGGCCTCGACAGTAGTCACAGCAGCTTCAGAAGCCGTAGGTGTAAATTCCGGGGTGGGTTCTGTCTTGAACCGTATGGCTCTTCCACTCCCCTCCCCACCCCTCATCTCCTCCTCCCCCTCCCTCGTCAACCTTCCCCCATCTCTTCCCCACCTCCTCCCCCTTTTTGTTTATTTTCACAGGAGCCGAACGGCACGTTGGTGTTTGATTTCCTGCTGTCGGCGCTGCTAGACGTGACCTCGTCCGGCTTTGGGTTCATCTCTTCTGCGCTGCTCAAGGCCGACGGCACGCCCTACCTCAAGGTACAGAGCCCTGCCGTGTGGTGCACTGCAGTGCAGAGAGGTGCGGTGCGGTTCTCAGCGCAACAAAGGTGCTGCGATAATTGGTGAACAGGGAGCGATGAATCTAAGGGAACGTGCAGGCAGAACGGAAATTAATGCAAGGGAAGGGAAATTATGGAGCAGCCAGATGTCTGCTCGTGTGTGTCTGTTACGTTTGAAAAGCTAATGCCCCTGTGGTTCCCGATTTGCACTCTTACAGTCCCATTTATAGCACGGCACGCGTGTGCCATTACGCTGTTGAATTGTGCACCGGGTGCGCAGTGGATAATGGTTTGGGTTGCAGAATGCCCCTTGCGGAATGCTTGACGTGCTTCTCACTCTCACACCCTCGGTTCTTTCCGCTTTCACTCTTCTCTACCTCTTCTTTCCCTCTCTCCTTTTTTTTCTCCCTCCCATTCTTTCCCACTTCTCCCCCGTTTTCTCCTCGCCTTCTCCCTCCCCTTCTCCCTCCTTTCTCCCCTTTTTCTCTCCCT